GCAATCACTCGCTGCTCACACACTCCTCGTTAACACTTGGCTGGGGCTTCTGGAGGATTCACCTTGCTGTGCTACTGATGAACCGCTCAGGTGCATGTGACCACAGAAGGCTTCAGAGCCTTGCCAAGAGAGAATAAACAGCAGCCACGCACCCAAGTTCAGGGTGTCTTGAAAGCATGAAAACCCAGTGAGTGAATGACCTGGGGAGAAAGTAGCTCATGGGAACCACCTCACCATTCACCGAGGCAGGGCAGGGCAGGGCAGAGGAAATGTTCAGTGAATTCTTCTAAGAGCTTCCAGAGGAGGTGGTTTCCAGGAACGGGAGGGCTGGGGGGTGAGCTAGGCTTTTGGAGAAGGGGTCACAGAAGATTCTGGACACCTGAGGGTCAGAGGCTTCTGCAGCTGCGGTGGTAAGATGCCATCAGAGAGGTTCAGATTCCTTGGTGATAGATTAGTTAGAGGTGTGTATTTATGTAGCACACACGGGAGAAACATTTTAGAGAAATCCTAAATAGAGATTTCTGTACATTGTACCCAGTAAAGACGTCCTGCCTTTGTTGTTTAGAACTGGGACCTAGAAATGGAACCTGGAGAAGTGACTGAACAAAGAGGGCAGGCACCGTGATTCAGTCTAGCTTAGAATTTAGTTCAGCTGCAGCTTGGTGCTGTTGAGTTGATGCTCCATCGAGCTTCCGGCCATCGCTTCCTCCTACAGCACCCAAGGCTGCAGACATAACCTCGACAGGTTTACTTCTTAGGAGGAAGGAAGAAGGGAGGCACCAGATGCTTTATTCCCATTTCAGAACGGGAAACTGAGGCACAGAGCAGGATGCGGGACTTAGTAAGGATGGGAGGAGTCACCTGTAGAACTGAGAACAAACTGGGATTTGGTTAAGAGTGACTGCCATCCAGCACAGTGTGTGTGTGCATGTGTGTGTTTGTGTGTGTGTGTGCATGTGTGTGTGTGTGTGTTTCTGTTCATGTTCCTCTCTGATCCTCACTATTCAAATGGGACGCACTGGAGACGACACAGTTAAAAAGGGATCCCCTTTTCTGAGGAGCATGTGCTATCAGGCACATCGCATAGTGTTTCTTAATCGGGTGTGCTTATCAGTAAATAGGAAATATCAATCACCCCTACCTTGCGGCATTGTTGAGAGGGGGGTCATTGAGGTTACTCGGATCTAAATATCAGAATCCATTTCTGAACTCCAGTGAACACACGAGACATCAGTCAGCAGTGCCCACTTGGTGGAGACCACACACTGGAAGTACTGACCTCAGACCGCGCACTACTTTCTTCTGTGGGAGGAGCCGTGCTAGTCAGCCTGGATACAGACTAATAACGTGAGTCTGTGCTCCGTTACAGTGACTTTCTTTGCCGTGTTCCGGTGTAGGGGAGAAAGCTGGTCTTGGATGCCAACCATGTGCTGAGTGTGTTACAGAAGGGATTCTTAGCCCCCCCTGGTTCCACTAGGAGCTGCTAAACTCCGAGGAATTGCCCACCCAACTCCTTTTCAGTCTTTCTTCTCAGCTCCCCTGGCACCTGTTGTTTCTCCTCTTCGAAGCGAGCTTTGCCTCAGAGCCCGCCCCCAGATATTCTCTTTTCATGGTGACTTCTACCTTGGAAGACTGTTTCCCTTCCAGTACCATAGACGACTGCCAACCCCACATCAATTCTCCAGGCTTCAGACTAAACAGTCAATTACCAATTACCTCCCAGAATTTTCCTGTTAAGTACATCCAATTCCCCACATTCCAAATAGAACTTACCATCTTCCTTACATACTTTTTCATGATCCCTAGTCTGGTGAGCAACACACCATCAAAGCACACCCCTCCCCCCGCTTGCTGGAGCTAGAAACTGATTGGAACGCTCCCTTCCCGTCCCATCTCCACATCCCTCTGAAATCAGGTCTTGCCGATCTGCTCTCCTCCACGTCTGTTTCTCCATCCAGCTTCTGGTCCTGGTTCTAATTTAGACCCTCATTTTCTGTTGGCTTTCAGTCTTGCTTCCCTGAGCATCAACCTCAGTTCCTTTTTATCAGAGTAACACATTCATGAGTATGTAAGGTAGCATGTTGCGTGCCTAGCTTCCTATTGTGCTTAAATGAATGAGAAGCCACCCATGAACTCACCTTGCTCTCTGGCTTCCCACTGTCTCTCTCCCCAGATGGGAGAATAATACCTCTAGCCCCTGCTGTCTGGCCTGACACACCTATCCTCCTGTTTACCTGCTAAACAACTCAGCTTGAGGTTCACATCTGTTGGGCAGACCCTCCTGATTCACCACCTCTGCCTTAGCACAACACACACACACACACACACACACACACCCCTACCACAAGTTATCCAAGCTTGTCACCTGGTTGAAACTCTCTTGAGAGTGATGGCCAAGGTTTAGTCACGTATCTCCCTGATTCATTCTGGTGTTTAGCACATAAGGGGAATTCAACCCATGCCTACTGACTGAATAATGAAATTACACAAGATTTAAACCCAGGTTTAGCTACGGAGTAGAGGGGAGCCAAGCTCCGGTTCCTGCCACTAGAGGGCACTCTCGCCGTGCTCTTCACAACCCATCGCTCATCACAGCTCTGAGCGGAGCTGGCCAAGGCGCTCAGGGTCTGGTGGCCTGGTTCCTTACTGGGCTCCTGTCAGTCTCTTCGAAGCATTCTGTATTTCTCTATTTGCTCGTCTCACGCCATGTTTGCCCTGGACACACACAACGCTTAACCGCAGCCAAGGCAGACCTTTGCTCACGCCTTTAGCTCTGGCCCAACATTGTTGTCAGAGAACATTAATTATTGACAGTTTTTTTTTTTTGAGGGTTCCAGCCTCCTGTTGCTTTAATGCTTTTGAGCAACACAGGATGTTTTTGTTATGTAACTGGACATATGTTTTTGGTAGAAGGGTTGGGGTTGCCTGAGACCCCATTGCCAGGGTTGCCTGGCAATGCTTAGCCCTGACTATCGTTCTAGGGTGCATACTAATCAGTATGCATCTCACAGCATTCCTGGGTGCCCAGTATATGACCCTTTTAAAGTTGGTGCCCAGTTGTGACATAAGCTTCGCTCTTATTTTAGGAAGACTATTGCGTAAGTATTGTATTCTTCAGCCTCATCCTTAACGACGCCTCTTCATGGAGTTCCATAGGGCTTTGCACTATAAAACGACAAACTCTTGTGTTCAGTATTGCGGGTCTCTTTTTAGAGAAGGCAGGGATTATGCAGAGTGATAGCAAAGGAGAACTATCAAGCGGTCCAGGCTTTGTGCCCCTGGAAAGTCAGTGACAGCAAAGGGGGCTGAGATACAAGGCGGTGTCTGTCTTTCTGTGCCCTGGGGCCCAATCCCCATCAGCCCACGATATGGGGTTAAAGAAGGAGTGTTTTCATGCAGAGGAAGTTCCTGGGGCTTGTGTGTAGGGCAGAGATAAGGAAGGGGGAGAGGAAAGGGAAGGGCTAAGGAAGAAGTATCAGGAGGGCTGGTGAGGTGGGGTGCTGTGGAGACAGTTTCAGCTGCTTGGTCAAGAACAGTCAAAAGAGAGTTCTGGGTAGGGGACTCTACCTTGATCAAAAGAAAACATATGGGGAAAGAAAATTATAAAATACCTATGGTTTATTATTTGATTACCTTTTAATAATTGGAGAAATTCCAGAACATTTTGAATCACATTTTTTTCCTATTCTTGGTTGCTAGAATCTTTTTTTAAATGAGACTTTATTGAGTCGGGATCCCAGGGAGCTCTGGGACTGTGTGGGGAGAATGAGGGTCATGGAGTAATAACTGGATAGCTGGTTATCTCTGAGAAGATACACAGAACTGAACGCAGGAATTTACGTGCAGTTTCACAGCCCAAAGCCCCGTGGAGCTCCATGACGAGGAGCTGTTATGAATGAGGTGGAATACTTATATTCTATTCTTTAAAGTATACCAGTGAAGCTTATTTCATAAGGGTAGGACTCCTCCTTTACGACGTGAGATCTGCTAGGGTTGCCTGAGCATCTGTGGAGGAGGTCCCATGGCTTCTAGAATCCCTTTCAGTTCTGAAGTCTGCGGCTTCATTAAAATGGCAAGTCGCCAGGCCGGCTGAGTATCTTTCCTGTTGCTCCCACAGATGGTCTATAAAGAGCAGGGGTGCACAAGGAGATAGTGGGCTTTTGACCCACGATGGAGGCTTCTTTCTAGCAGCGAACCCAACCTTAGAATCCTAAAATCACCCCTCCCCCAACCACTGAGAGATCACCCTGCATCGCTGTGCATATAGTCAGAACCAGGTTAGCTCCGGGAACAGCTGCTGAGGACATTCTACATTCTGCAACTGTGTGGATGGTGGAGGCACACGTGTCTCAGACGCACAACCACCCCAGGTCGACTCTGAGAGATGGAGCTGTGGGAACCAACAGCAGTAAAGAAGCGGTCCCCGCATGGCTAGAAATAAGCCCCAGGAGGGAGTATGACAGCTGAGGACAAGCTTTGTTGAAGAGCCATTTAGGTGTGCGTGTGCACATGTGTGTTAACATGTTCCTTTGTGTGTGTACATGTGGAGGCTAGTGGACAATATCAGGTGACATCCCCAGGAACACTGTCCACCTTCTTTGGGACAAGGTCTCTCATTGGCCTGGAGCTCACCATGAGACGAGGCTGGCCAGAGGGCACTAGGCCTCTTCCTGCCTCTACCTCCCCAGCCCTGGGATTCCAGGTGTGCACTATTACATCTGGCATTTTTGCATGGGTTCTAGGGGTTGAGTTGAGTCCACAGTCAACTGACCATCTCCCCTGTCCTGAAGAGGCCGTCGCTCAGTAAATTCTAAGGGGTGAACTAGGGCTTCCCAGGCCAGTGAAGACTGGGGAAGGACATTCCACAGGCTAAAGTGCGACTGTGCGAGGCCAGGTAATGAATGAATGGGAGATCTAGGGCCAGGGAGGATCGGAAGGTCCAGTTAGAAAGTTGTGTGCCGCAAAAGGGCAAACTGGAGGACTTTGTCCTCTGTGCTAAGGATGCCAGCTTCATCCTCCAGTGGCTGTGGGCTCCTGGCGCTCTAAAATCTTAGCACTCTTTGGTGAATTTTCTGGGCCGTTCTTAGGACTTAAATAAGGTGTGTGATTTTTCTTATTTTATGGGGCCAATGCTGGTGTTCTGAGCAGAAATGCATTAGGACTCTCTCTCTCTCTCTCTCTCTCTGTGTGTGTGTGTGTGTGTGTGTGTGTGCGTGTGTGTGTATCAATGGCATAGTGAAAGTAGTGACTCTGGGTTCGTTGCTCCCCTATTTCCTCTGTATATGTTCGTTCTGGGATGCTCACTTCCTCGGGGCACTTGGTGTTGGACACATGCAGCCTGGGATCTTTCAAGGTTACTAAGTCAGAGTTGTTCTTACGGTTTAGATTTGTTTCGGGTCTTTGCAAAGAAAAATTCCCTTGCTATTTGTTTTTTGAATTTCTTCCTTCTCCCTCTCAAATTCCATGCTTGTTTAATCTTGTTTAAACAATTAGAATCACTTTAAGAAAGCCACAGTTGGAGCACTTTGCGGAGGGGCCTGGGGACTGTCACATCTAGCTGTCCTCTCTTCTTCTAGAGCCTTTCCCATGCTCGCCCTTCTGCCAGCTGGGTATCATGTGAGAGGCACCAGGTGACCCAGCACCCCTCCAAGGGCCGGCTCTCGGGATGCTGGATGGCAATGGCTTGCTCTTTGTGTGAAAAGGGTTTGCTGTTTTGTTTTTGTTCTTCCTTCTCTTCCTCCTCATCCTTTTCTTCCTCTTCCTCCTCTTCTTTCTCCTCCTCCTCCTTCTCACATTTAATTAAAACTGCTGGACCCTAACTAGGCACAACTGTGAGAGGCAGCCTGAGGCTGGCTGGATGGCTCCAGACCCTCTCTTCCCCATACTGTTTCCACTGGAGTGCACCAGGGTTAAGCCTGGGCGGGAGAGACACTTTGGTTTAAGGTATGCAGACATTTTCTTTTCTCTTCCACTTCACTTTTGGAGCCTCAGCATCTCGAAGGTTGCCAGGAGCTGCCTGTGACTCCTGACAGCTGGGAGTTCAGGGCAGGAACTTGGAGGAGCCTGAGGGCTGAAATTTAGAATCCTTGCAGCAAGCATGGGAGTCATAGCGGTTCACTGGGAAGTGTGAGAAATTGAGCCAGGTATGTTTAAAATGTGGCTCACTTAGCCCTCGTGATAACGAGCTAGTGTTTGATGAGTACTTCCTTTAACTGGGCTCTTAGCCCCTTCCTCAGCCATCTCTCCTGGGGCACATACAGAGGTGGAAACTGAGGCTTGGGGCAGTGACATTAGTTAAAGAAATGGCTTTGGTTCCTGGGGCGGTGACCAGTTAGCTTAAATTCCCGTGCTCTTCCACTGTGTCTACGCAGTAGGGGTGGGATTTGTTGTTTTGAAAGTCAGGATGATTTTTCAGCATGCCGTCAAACATGATCTATTGAATTTCCTCAAACGAGCAAGGCACATTTCTCCTCCAGCAAACATGTGATTGCAGTCCCTTCATGCAACATGAAACCTCAAGCATGAGCCGTCTGGATCATGGAAGGCAACTGCTGGAAGACACAGGCTCCCGGAGCTTTCCCGTGAATCGTTTCTACTCATCCATTCATTCTGTGTTAGACTCGTTCTGGCTAGCGGACAAGTGCTAACAGGCACTAAAGGTGGAGCAAAAATGTATGAGAGTCTCCAGCTGAGGAAAGTCTGTATGATCACATATTTTTAGTGCACCAGGATTGATTTAGGCAGCGCACCCTCCAGGCACGCTTCCTCAGCAACAGCCTTGAAGATTCTCCTATTCAGAGACGCCCTGAGCATAAATGGGGGAGCAGGTATGTGCAAGGGAGGGCTTGTCCCACAGTGTGAAACTAGCTTCTGAGCCAGGGGTGATGTTGGGTGTCTCACAGTCAATCAATCTTCTGTGTCCTTTCTGCTTTAGGTTACGGTCAAGACGATCTAAAACGTTCAAGTACACTGATTGGCCTATGGACTTAACCTAAGGTACCATCTTCCTAGAATTCTAGTAATGGCTGGGGATGTAATCCCCCAAGTGAATAACAGCGTTTTTTTTTCTCTTTCAGGAAAATCCTAAAACAGACGCAGGTCTACACACCATTTTATTGCTGTCTCAGTCACTTTGTGTCTGTGATAAAACACCATGACCAAGGAGCATTGAATTGGGCTCACTGCTTCAGAGGGCTCAGAGTCCATCATGGTGGGGCGTACAGCAGCAGGAAGCAGGCATGTTGACTGGAACAGCTGGACCCACACCTTTTGATCTCCGTGCAGGAGGCAGAGAGCAAACTGGGAATGGTGAAAGTCTTTCGAAATCTTCAAACCGGCTCCCAGCGGCATGCCTCATTCAACAAGGCCTGGGACCAAGTATTTAAACATATGAGCCTATGGCCCACATTGCACCCGGAACCCATAGGCTTATGATCATATCCCAATACAAAATACATTGGGTCCAACTTCAAAAGTTCCTGTAGTTTTTCAGTCTCAACACTGTTTAAGAGTTCAAAGTCTTTTAATTGTAACCCCCGTAAAATAAAAAGCAAACTACATGCTTCCAACATACAGTGGCACAGAATATATATTACCATTATGAGCAGGAGCAATCAGAGAATAATGAGAAAATACTCGACCAAAGCGAGAAGACACCCGGCGGGGTAAATGCCAAATCTTGTAGTACCATGTCCGAAGTCAAATGGCTTAGATAGCTCTTCCCATCCGGCTCTCCTGCCTACAGCACACTTTCCTTGGGCAGCTTCTACTCCCTGTGTTCTCTGTGTGCAGCTTTCCTTGTCAGGAATACCATAGATCTGGTACCTCCAACAGCCTGGAATCTCTAATGCAATCCAGGCTTCACCTTTACAGCCTCACCCAATGGCATCTCAGTGCTCCATACTCCAGGGACACATCACATGTCTGTCCTCCAGGCCTCTCCCTAGCCAGGGAGGAAGAGTCCATAATATTTAATTCGTGTCCTTCCTAGCTCTAAAGCTAGAACCACATGGACAACTCTGCCCAGTTCACGCACTTGCTTGGGATGGAACCTGGACTCTCTTAAGTCTCCTTTTTAGCAGCTTTTGTTTGTTGTTGCTTTTTAGAAACATTTATTTGTTATTTTCTATCTGTATGGGCATTTTGCTTGCACAAATGTCTGTGTAGCACATGTGTGCAATGCCCATGGAGGCCAGAAGAGGGCATTGGATCCTCTGGGACTGGAGTTGCAGATGGTTGGGGCCTGTCATGCTGGGAATCGAGTCCTGGTTCTCTGGAAGAGCAGTCAGTGATCTTAAGCAACGAGTCATCTCGCCATCTCTCCAGCTGTTGTTGCTTTTCAGGAACAGAAAATTCCTTAGACCTTTTCTTTCAAAAAAAATCCTGGGAGCCTACCTGGGTGGGGCCTTGCCCTGAGGCCACCCCTCCCTTTATTCCAGTTTGGGGCAAGCCTCTCCTTAGTTTCCTAAGCTCTGTCAGGACAAGTCTTGGCTCCAAGTTTAAATTTCTTGTTGCTCTTTCTCAAGCTTTACATTTTTAAAATTATTTTCTGCCCCATTTGCTCTTTTTCATTGCAGACCTGAACAAGAGTGGGGTTGCTAATAAACATGAAGAGAGTCAATATTAGGCTGCTTTGAAATCTCCTTGGCCAAAGAAATCAGTTAATCACTTTTTGGTTTAGCCTCAAGCAAGTTCTGAGGACAAGGACAGAAAGTAGCCTTATAAAATATTACAAGGAGGATCTCTAGCCTAATTGTTAATATCATTCCCTGCTGAAGCCTCTTTATGGAGCTGGGCCTCCATAGTCCATATGGCTCTCAGCATCACCTTCCAGGCTCTTACTAAACAGACCTGTTTATGTTCTATCTATAGCAGTGAATCATTTTTCCTAGAGCGACGCCCCAAAATCTTCTATATGCCTCCAAAACTCAGCATAATACAGTTTGTCACAGGAAGAACTCACTCTCTGGATCTAACTCCTGTCTTGTTACTTTTCTATTGTTGGGAAGAGACATTGTGAACAAAGGAAATTATAATGTGTCTAATTAGGCTTAGCGTTTCAGAGGGTTGAGAGTTCAGCCTGGTGGGGCAGCTTGGCAGCTGGCAGTGGGCAAACTGTTGGGAACAGCTGAAAGTTTGCATTGTAACCTTCAAGCAGGAGGCAGAGAGCACACTGGGAGCGATGTGAGACTTCTAAGACCTCAAAGCCCACCCCGAGTGACACACCTCCTCTAACAGGGCCACACCTCACAATCCTTCCCAAACAGTTCCGTCAACTGGGGACTCAGTATTTAAACACATGAGCCTACAAGGCCAATTCTCATTCAAACCACCACATCCTGCCCCAGTCCTTGCAAATTTCTCACAAGAGCATTCTGGAGAGTCTTACCCTCTGTTTCTCCCCAGGGAGCAGAGGGTGTGGGAACTCCCCTTAGGGCTCAGAAAGAGCTGGGATCTCTCTGCTTTAGTTGCACTATCATTGTCAGGCAACACATCAGTTCTCTTGGAAAAAATCCCATGTGGGTCCCCTGTTCCCTGTTATTCCCTTTATTTCTTTGGAAGATGAGGGTAGGTACATAGCTTGGGTGGAGGAAAGACACCAAAGTTACAGCCATTACAGTAATGCAACCCCTGAGTCATCTCCATTTTTGGTGTCTGAGTGTGCAGGAGTTGGGCTCTAGATGATAAAGAATTAATAAATGTTTGTGATGCACTTCACACTTGTAAAAAAGAACAAATGTTAAATAACAACAATAATAATAGCAATGCGATTTGGTTTGGGGAGGAGGCTTCAGGGTTCCCGAGATGGAACACATATGGAATGCATTCGCGGTGCTGTAGAATGCCCCATAAACTGATTGGGTGCAGATGAGAAACATTTTTCAGCGAGGTTCCCATTACTGGGTGTGGCAGGGTCTGGTTTGGGCGCTTATTGGAGGGGCTGCTTTAGACAAGGAGATGCTGTTGTTAGCTGTGGTGGTGGGGAAGGCTCTGCGGGGATTTCTTCGGGAACGCTCTAGGCCGGGGTTGCTGGAGTGGCTGAAACTGTTCATGTCAGTCTGCTGTACAGAAGGTACAATGCAGCCAACAGGAAATGCTAAGCACGCAGGAGGGCTCTGTGAAAATCACAGGCCATGAGAATTTTAGATTTCAAGTTTATTCCCCCAGAGGCCGGCACTGCTTTCTTGCCAGAAGTGAGCGATGGAATTCAACAAAGTTACTGCAGGTTTGGGTAACCCGGGGACAACCGGGAGTGGGGTCGCACACACTGGTGGCTGGTTGCGGTGAATTGTAGTGTTCTTTGAGTGCAGCGCACGTAATGGGGAAGCCTTGGCTAGGCACTTTTTGATGATTTTTTTAAAAAAAGGCATGTGACATGTGACTCCATAGATTTTGCTCTGGAAAAGAGGAAGTAGAAGATTTTCCCAGAGGTCTCTGTCCCTGGAGTTTCCAGCTCCTCTGTGGTTTGGCTTCCCCACTTGGGTGGCCTTGGTGGGCTGCTGTTGTTATCCAATTTCCTTGCTTCTATTTTAACCACCATTGCCACCGATCATTGTTGGATGTTCTCGTGGAAATTCTACAAATATTTAAGAAACAAAATTGAGTTAGAGGCTTATGAAATAGAGATGTCTGCTACATTTAAGGGACTCTAACATACACACATAGTTTACAAAGTCCAAGGCTAAGCACGCGTCTCTTCTGCGACTTTCTTTTTAAGTTTTGTTTGATAAAACTCAGCTTTTGCCAACATTATTAGGACTTTGGGTAGATAGGAGGGCTTCTGGGAGAGAGGAGGAGAGGAGTACTGGGAGAGAAAGCAACATCTGGGAAAATGAGAGCCGGTGGAGGGAGTTGGTGCAAAGAATGAAGGAGTGGCCATGGCTCCTTGGATGTCACTAATAGAGGCACAGTAGTGACAGATGTGCCCAGATCTAGGGAATGAAGCTCCAAGCTACTGTTTCTCATCTCATAAAAGATGGGGGGGGGGAATTCCAGGGCACTTCCTGGAGGAGAGGGGTTTTTGGAATTCTGGGTAGGAAAATGCTGGCTGGATAAGATGACAAGAGCAATCGATGGGTTTGTTTATGTTTTCATAGCTTTGTAGCCCTGTGGTCGAGTTCAGCTGTACCAGAGCAGCAGGGAAATCTTTTTAAAATTTATTTTACGTTCCCATCGTGGTTTCTCCTCCCTCCTCTCCTTCCACTCCCTCCCCCAACCTCCGCGCCCCCATCCTCTCCTCCTCCATTTCTATTTAGAAAAGGGCAGACCTCCCATGGATATCAACAAAAACAGCATATTAAGTTGTCGTAAGACTTGGCACCTCCCTTTATATTAGGGCTGGACAAGGCAACCCAGTGTGAACAATAGGGTCTCAAATAGCCAGCCAAAGAGTTAGGGACAGCCCCTGCTCCCATTGTTAGGAGTCTCACAAAGTTACTCCACTGTAGCATATATGTAGAGGGCCTAGATCAGTCCCATGCAGGCTCCTTGATTGTCAGTTCAGTCTCTGTGAGCTCCTATGAAACCAGGTTAATTGATTCTGTGGTTTTCTTGCAGAGTCCTCGACTCTTCTGCCTCCTCCAATCCTTCCTCCCCCTCTTCAGCAGATTCCCAGAGCTCGGCTTAATGCTTGACTGTGGGTCTCTGCGTCTGTTTCCATCAGTTTCTGGATGAAGCCTCTCTGATGACCCTTGGGCTAGGCACCAATCTTTGAGCACAGCAGAATATTGTTAGGCATCATTACATTGACATTTCCCCTCCAGTTGTGTTTGGTGCTGTCCGAGGTCTCCGGGCTAGCCAGCTTCTGGGTCCTGTCACCAGTGTCAGGGATGGGCTCGCTCTTGTTTCCTGAGGGTTGACTGAACACGCTCTCTCTCCATGGCTCAAGCTACTGTCTCTGCAAACTGTTGCCCTCTGCCTTCTGCCTGAGACACAGCTGTGAATTTTACCCCCTTTGGGAGGGGGAAAGGGGAACGCATGTCCTCCACCAGCTTGTCCAATTGTTCAAAGTTGAAAGTCTCCAAAAAGGACTTTAAAAAGCCATCACCCCTTTCCTTATTTCCTCTCCTGACATCCAGTTTTAGCCTGAAATAAATCTCAATTCTTCCTATAATGTTTACTACTACCACCACCACCTCCTCTTCCTCCACCACTACCACTACCA